GTTGCCTTTGCAAAGGCAAAAGGCATCACTTCTTGTTACCTACAGTAGTAGTAGTGAGTCTACTGTAACTATAATAAGTAAAAGGCTTCTGTTGACCATGCTGTAATTCAAATTCTTTATTCAAATTCTTTATTTATTTAGCAACTAAGTAAACATAGTTGAATTTACAATAAAAAACATCATACAGTATAAATATATATAGAATCAATTCAGAATACAAATTTAAAATGTTTAAAATACGATAAAATTTAAAAAAAAAAAAAAAAAAAATCTCAAAGGTTTACAGAACAAAAAAGAAACAGGCAGAAAAAAAAAAGTATCAACTAAGGAACTTCCTATTTCTTGACCAGTAGCTATAGTAAAAATAGACTTTCTTTTCTGTTGACCAGATGACCTTCTTATTAAGTGACCATTGAGGTAGACATCCTATCCAACTGACCAGTAAGTGAGGCAGAAGTCCCTGGTAATTACCATATACAGTAGGTGGTGATAATTGTCATACAAATAATGACATTATTGTCAATGTGACAAGTGTCTGATGTGATGACAATGATGAGAGGTAAGGATCAGATCTACTGTAGACTGACCAGATATGCGACAGTTGTGGATGCCTCTCTTTAAACCATAACGGTACATGGCGTTGTAACCAAGAGGTGTGATGAGAATGTATGCTAACACATTTACCATCTAACCCCATTCTCAAACAACAAATATTTACCTATTTTTATGAAATTAAAAAGCATATCAAAACTATGACATAAATTTCGTATTACAGTATTCTGCAAGTTAGGAGTTTTACTGTATGTTTATAATAATAATAACAATAAATTTTGCTTTGTCCCTTTTAAATGATGATTTTGTATTAAATTTCTGTGTTTCTCCATGATGATAGTACTTTTTTTGACAGATTTTTCAAATGATTTCTTAGGGGTTGTTCACAGTTATCAACATTTTCACCAGTGTACAAACAGTACTCTTTTTCCGTACCCCCTCCCTCCCATCTGAAAGTGTACAAAAATATGTTGATTTTGCAAAACTTTTCTCCATTTTTGTGTGAAGTCAATTAAAGCAATGTACGTGGTTGCTTAAAAAATGAATATTTATATCCATAGTTACATTATAATTTTACCATTATTTTATATATTGCATGTTATTTTGAATCAACATTTTTATGCATATGTAAGAGTATACAAATCTGTTTACCCCTCCCTGCTAGTATACTGTTTGTACACGTGTGAAAATGTTGAACGACCCCTTAAAAAATTGTTAGCAAAAATAATAAAATATGAGGAATTTGAACTCCCTTTGAAGATCAAATAAAAATGTATTTAAATCTCTTTTTTATTATCAAAGTAAATATGGGGTTTAATGTTTGGGATTATTTGACCTTTATTTACCTTTTCATTTACTGTACATAAGACTTGTGTTAAATTGCCCCGGAGGAACTTTCAAATTCAATTAATTGAGTTTGACAGAAAATAATACAATAATTATTTACCAAAGAAATCAAAACATTTCATGTTTAATTACAGTACTTTAACAGTATTGTATAGTTTTGATTGAAATTTTGACAGTTAATATACACGATGTAGTTCAGTGCCTTGTGCCATGTCATTCTGTTGACAAGCACTTTTGTCACTAAAACACATACACATGTATTACACTTGAAATTAAAATGTACTGCAACCAATTGAAACAGTAGGCCTACATTCTACTGTACTTCACTTGACACATTCATTCTCATAGTTTATTACACCTAAAACTATTTCCAGATTATCAAAATTTCTTTGATAAAAAACTGTTTGCCCATATAGTCAATATGTGCCTATACTGTATATGGTCATATTATGATGTTATCAAGACCATACTTAGGCATGGCACAGTCTTTATCAAATAAAGTTTGATAGACTGGAAAAGGCTTTTTTACATTAAAGTAAGAACTAAATAAAATGATTTAACATCAACAAATTCCTTGCAAATACTTGTCATTACTTATTAAGCATGAGCAATTAAAGAAATAAAAAGCTGTCATGTTATTCCACCCACTAAGTGGACAAAGTTTCTCACACAGAAAAAAAAAAAAAACTTGTGAAGTAAAAAAATGTTGATTGATTATTAATGAGTAGGCTACGTTTGATGTGTTGTCTTTTAGCCGTTTCACGTATTTTATCGCTTCCTGTCACGTAATTATAACAATATCCTTGTTGTATTTCATCGTATGATTGACTTTCCTGTTATTTTTGCCTGAATTTACGTTGTCCCTTTATTGTTATTGAGTGTACAGTATTGTACTAATTTGTTGACTTGTTTATAATTGTTAGATATAACAACAATAATTTCATTGTAGAACAATGACTAAATGTAGAATAATATTTAATCTTCAAGCAATAAAATGTTAACAAATTTAAACAGATTCATTGACTCCTAAAAATAAAAATATTTTAATCTTTTTATTAAAAATCTTTTTAAATTATCAATAAAACATTAATCTCCAAATAATTCACAAATCAATTGTTATAAATCTATTTGCTTTTGGTACCAGTGTCTCCTGGAACAAATACTTAATAGTAATTGTCTGAATTCAACCACAGTATTAGAAATCTATAATATGATATAAATTTCTCCTATACAATTAAAACAATTGTGTAGCGGTTCTGTCAATATAAACAAGTGTGACAGTGTGGAGAAAAGAGGGCCTACTTTACTACTGATAATAAACAACTTTTAATGTCCACTTAAATAAAATCAATGGCAGCTTCACTAGAACCTAATAGTAGAGTTAGCTTAAGTAATTTTATTATTCTTCATTAATAATAAAAAATAGTTTATAATTGAATTAAACATTAAAATTTAATATTTCCTCATATTATATTAACTTATAAAGCAAATTATTATAAGATGTCTCTTTATATTAAATGGCAGTAAAATTTAAACCAATGAAAATGACATTTACTCAGTCAATAATGAATTGCCATTTTTGAAGTGACAACAACTATTTATATTATATATTTGTTAAAAGACAATGCAAGCTACAGTACATGTCTTAGTTGATTTACAATACACCGAGTACAATAAAGAAAACAATTTTACATCATATTACAAACAATAAGTTTATAGCACTAACAACAACACAATAAAAAACTCGAACAATAAAGAAGAAAGTCTGAAAGGAAACTCAAAATGTAACCTGTCAAGAGTTCGTATCTAGCAAATTCACTAATAGTTGAACAAAACTTGTTTATTTGCATTGTAAAATCCTACATAGAAAATCTACACTTTTTCAAAGTGACCATCGCTATATGACGCTTTCTCTACAAAACGGCCGCGCCGCTTTGACTGTTGGCTCGGGTACCACACCTGTCTCTTATACACATCTAGATGTGTATAAGAGACAGATGCTTGAATCAATGATCTAATAATTCATCTCTGCACTCTCTCTTAACAAACTATTTCTCAGCATTAATCATTGATATCAAGGAGATTATAATTAATTATTTAAAAACTCAACCCAAACTGCCTTGTGTATACTGAAAAAAAATTATGTTGCCTCAACACACAATTAATAATGATCATAGTAGATTATACATATGCCCATGTACACATGACTCACAATCAGACACATACTGGACCTGTCATTAGCAATTATCAAACAACACACAATTAACAAACATTGTAAGAAAAATCTTCCTCTAATTACATTTATAAAAAAGTTTCAAGAAGATCACAATAATCTGAAATCATTACAATTACAAAAGAGTACTATCTAGTTAACAGTTTTAATATAATATAAATATTTTTTTATTTCGATTTAATACTTTTTTTTTGAATGTGTACTGTAGAGTTATAATTTACAATGCTCTATGTCTTATTAAATTAGGATAAATGGAGGAAATGTTTTATTGCAGTGAGAAAAGTCCTGGGTTTTTGGAGGATTTTAACCAAGGAACCTATAATTTACAGGCAAGTATTTCGACCAAAATGTTCAATACCCACATAATACAGGATTAATATAATACAAGCAAAGACATTATTTTAAAGACAATACTTGATTTACTTGATTTACTTTGGGCCAACACAATAATCAGGTGTGGGTATTACATTGAGGATGCTTTTTAGAATAAAGTTGAAATTAAGGAACAGTCTGAACAACCTATTTAAAGTTTTATGTTTTATCTTGTTTTGGTTGTTGGTTAAATTTTTTTTTCTACAGTGGTTTATTGTAGTAGCCTACAGTTTATTCTTTCTGCATAAAAATGGTCCACATTATGCCATTGCTTGTATTGTATAACTTAAAGCTTTATCTTTGTGCCATGTCATTCTGTTGACAAGCACTTTTGTCACTAAAACACATACACATGTATTACACTTGAAATTAAACTGTACTGCAACCAATTGAAACAGTAGGCCTACATTCTACTGTACTTCACTTGACACATTCATTCTCATAGTTTATTACACCTAAAACTATTTCCAGATTATCAAAATTTCTTTGATAAAAAACTGTTTGCCCATATAGTAAAAAAAAAAATGATTCAACATCAACACATTCCTTGCAAAATACTTATCATTACTTATTAAGCATGAGCAATTAAAGAAATAAAAAGCTGTCATGTTATTCCACCCACTAAATGGACAAAGTATCTCACACAGAAAAAAAAAAAACTTGTGAAGTAAAAAAATGTTGATTGATTATTAATGAGTAGGCTACGTTTGATGTGTTGTCTTTTAGCCGTTTCACGTATTTTATCGTATTGTATAACTTAAAGCTTTATCTCTATCTTTACTAGTAAAACCCTCATAAACATTAAGCATTTAATATCATTAAACTTATCATACCAATTATAATTATTAATAATGGGTTTTTCTTTCTTTTTCAAATGAACTGTGTAACTCACATATCATACAGAGTGACATCGCCTTATTGTTGGATAAATCTCATTTAAAAAAATCAAGACAGAATTATATTTAAAATTTAATTGAAAAAAAAAAAGTTAACTTACCAAGATCACTTTCTGTAATTTGCATCAGATAATCACCATCAATTCCACAACCTGTAGGAACATGAAGGTATGACATTACAGATGGATTTAGACCATCGCTATATGACACTTTCTCTACAAAACGGCCGCGCCGCTTTGACTGTTGGCTCGGGTACCACACAAGCTTAAACATTTTAACACCGAACAACTCAAATGATTCAAATACTGTATTCCTTGTTTGGGAAATTCTTGCGTATAAAATTGTTAAAAAGATTGATAAAGTATCAATATGATCGTCTACTGTTCAAACGTATTGGCATACTGTAGTACCATCGGTCTTCATCAAGCAAACGTTCAAGTGATAATGAGAGTATGAATCGCAAATGATGATGAAATTATACAGCAAATCATCAGCATATTACAACTGACAGTCCACACAATGAAATTACTCGCACTCTTGCTGTGCCAAACTTTGACAGTTCCTAAAAATAGCAATATGTCAACAAGCACACAATAGAGACGCGTTTTTGTCACCAAACGGCATAAGAAGTTATATCATATACTGGCCAGTGGCTAGTATTTTTAAATTCCAGACAGTGTTTTTTAGTGATAGAATAAAAAAAAAAAAGAGTCGATGCTCTTCCCCGGGACTCTCAGCCGTAACTGTCATGAGCTAAAAGAATTGATCACTTTTCATAGAATTATCAGGAAATGCATAATTTCTTTTGATGATCTGCTTCGTGATGAGATTAGCAACGTGGTAATTGATTTTGATTATGAGCACCAGAGAGGTGGAACTTTTACTTCGAGAACAAGGACTTAGCCAACTGACAAATATGGAATAGGATCAAAATAGGAGCGTTGGCTAAGATTCAACATTTCATGAGCTTTGGGATTGACTTGATCACATTAGTCTGGACCTCGTTAGTATCACGTTTGCAAACAAATTAACAGAAACATGCTGTGTGTGTGTGTTCTGTGTATTATGTGCATGGTTATATTGTAGAGAGTATGAGAGGGATACTACAATTGTGAGTTTGTGTGGGTGTCTGTGTCTGTGTGGTGTGTGTTGTGCGTGGGGATCTGAATCTGTAAATTAGTAATCCATAATTAATTATTTCCTGATAATTCTACTTGAAAGTTTTAAGTCTTGATACAAGTTTAATGGAATTTAAACCTGAAGACACAAAATAATTTTATCACATTATAGTAATATCATCATAAATTATTATCACAAAAACATTATTATTTAAGAAAATAATTTATGCAATTGTATTGAAATGCTATTGTTTCATATTAAAATCTACAGCAGTAATATTTGGTATTGTATATTTAATCACTAAAATAAAAATATTAAAAACATTATTTTTTTAACTTTTATTTACTTTACTTTTTTTCTGGTTGTGGAACAGTACATCAGTAAACTTTACTTAAATTCAGAAAAAAATGGCAATATGAAAAATTATTTCATTTCTTTTACTTCTCAAATAATAACTGTACAAAAAAATTAATACACACTTAAAACTCATTAAAAAAAAAACAGTAAGAAGTGTGAACTAACTCACTAAAGTGGGTCTTTAGCAAATATACCGATTTCAAATTACGAAGAATATTTTAATCAAACGTACAGTTAGCACTACCAATACTGTATGGAAAAGAGTACAGTAAAGTCTACTAACCTATTAGTTTGAACTAAGAAATTCGAATCTTCACTTCACATGGATGGCACTTAAATGTACAAACCTATTTTATGCTTTCTGCTTCTGCTTTTGTAGTTGTTTTTATTTGTAATTTTTATCCGAATATTTATATATTTTAAAATAAAATATTTCATTGAATGATTACGCGGATAAAAAAAAAAACAATGTTCTGAGTTGAAAATCAGGTGATGAGATTCTTATGCAGGTGTGTAAAATTGTGCTGAAATTTGATCATCAAGTTGTCTAATAAGCAGTTAAATGTTTCAACTTAAGCATGATTTAAATCTTAGGTCGGGAATATAGACATTGTATACGTGCAAATACCATATGTCTCAGTCGTGGATTCAAGGGAGGGGCCCAGCCGCCCCCTAAATTGTTCAAAATGTTTTTTTAATGGCGATATAAAGAAAATTATATTCAAATTTTAAGTCTGAAAAAGCAATTTCCAGTAGATCTAGAGGTGACCATAATCACAAATTTACCTAAGCCCCAACCGTGGTGGGGCTGAGGTGGTGTAGATCCTTCATCTGTGAAAGTACTTCTCTGGGCCCCCTCTTTTTGGAATTCCTTTAGATTAACTTTTTTTATTTTAACACAATAACCTTTTACTTTTTATGTTAATGTTGTTCACTTACTTTCATTTTGAAAGTACCAAATTGTTTTGAGTGACAAAGATTTAGGTGTACAGTAAGTATGTTTGAATATATTTACCACATACTGTACAATGTTAAATGAATTACATAACAATAAAAACAAATATTTTAAAAATAAATGACACATTGTCCTATGATTACTGCAATGTGTATAGCAACACATAAACGGAAAAAACAACGTTGAACAACATGTGGAAGTTTCAGGAGGGGTGACACAGGAGTGGGTGGAACAACCGAACGATTGATTGAAACAATACAAACAAGACATTGAAAATAATCCATCAAGAATAATCATAGTGAACAAATAGAGAATAACATACCGGAGAACAGTTCATGAAAATACTGCATTTTTCGGGATGCTAGCCACTGGAGGACTTCATTTTCTTCCCACGATTCTACTGGGATCAGCCTAAATCTCTCCTCTTTAGCCTTTGCATCTGCACCATTATGGTTCATGTATCCATTAATGTTATTTTTAGTTCTCTCATTTCCATTTTCAACCTGTTTGCTTTCATTGTCCTGACTTGGTGGTTGTTTAAAACTGCTGAAAGTAATCTCCGAAGAATTTTTTCTACTTTCGTCAATAGAGTTTTGTTGAACGTTCACATTTTGAATCTTTTTTGATATCACTCCCGGCCTTTCGTTATTAACTATTGATGTATTGGTTGGGGGAGAGGGCGCAGTTCTTTTCTTGGGTTTTCCAACTGAATCGTTACTTGTAGTTGATGTAACGCTGCTCTGGCGGCTACTGAGCTTCGGAGCTCTTTCATCAATTGCTGTGCCTCCATCTGTTAGCTTAGTCGCTGTTGATCGGGGAGGAGGCGTTGGTGCCTTTTTCTTCCTACGCCCAAACATGATTATTTTTATTTCTTGAGGATAAACATTCTTTTATAAATCTAAAGATGAAAATACAGAAATTATATTAATCCATTAATTTTTTTCAAACTTATTTTACTAAATTTTAAATTATACAGTTTTGTAAATGAATACACTTTCTTTTATTATGATTTATAGAGTAATTAAATTTTATCTTTTTAGATGTCCAAAAGATATTTTTGGCTTTGAACTAAAATATTATTCATAGATTCCTCAAAGTCATATACTGTACAGTATATATTTAAAATCAAATTTCCTTTGTACAAAATATGTTGAATCATATTATGACATTGAGAAACAATAAAAAAAAAGAAAATCTCAGTTTTATAAAAGTATTTACAGTAGGTATAACAGGTAATATTTCAATTGATAGAAATTAATTAATTAGTTAATTATAATATTTAACCTAAAATTAATTAAAAATGCTTCATATTCAATTAAAACATTAAACTGTTAATTAAAAAGGATTAAATCATTCCTAATCTTCCAATGAGATGGATGCACATCAAATTAATTTTGATTTTTGCTAATTTACACACTTTTATTACTAAAAAAAAAAAATCTGCAACAAGTATTAAATGCATTACCATAGCTCGTCAGGTATAAGCCTACCCCTTCTTTACTTTTAATTCATGTATTGTACCAGTGTGAACTTTTCCCGGACAAAAGATACGAAACAAAAAAAATTAAACATTGGCTTTGAATTGGGGATAGAGTACTGTATTAGAATACATTTTCAGCAGCCATTACAAGAAAGATGGAAATTTGCCCAATTTTTTTGTTTAAAATGGTTGGGAACTAAGTTTTAAAATGTTGTATTGAAATTAATGCCCACACTGAATAAACTTCCCCTTTGATGAAATTCCCCCTCGAATAAAACCCTCCTCTAGAGCCTCATTGGAATAAACACCTCCCTTGGGCTTTGATTAAAAAAAAATTCCCCACCCCCTCCTTCCAAATGGCATGAACAAATCTAATGCAAGCAACGTCATTTCATTCTCAACACATTCTATATGTTACTCTAGTAGAATTACATTTTTTCTAAACTGGTTGGGATCATCAACTCTTTATGATCCCACAATCACACATTTTGATGGTAATTATGTGTTGTAGTTCCACATAGTGAAAGCAAATAGTTTACGTCAAAAAATTTATTTTTTTCTAATATATCCATTCAAGGGTAAAAAATTAAAGAAAATGAATCAAACACAATACATAATTAATGAAAAATTTTTTGTTTAAATAAAAATAAAGTAATTTTAAGTGACTGACATAATATCTCACAGGGTGACTTTTAGTCACAAAGACCTGCAAATCTTGTGGTTAGGGCACATAGAAAAAATTATTGGATTATCACTCCTTTATAAAAAAAAAAAAAATTGAGGTGGCAGATACATTTAAAAAACTGCCCAAGGTCTACGATAATGATTAAATGGCCTATTCAAAATTATATTCCGGTGAAAAAAATTTGGACATTACTCGAGCATCAATGGGAAGGGAACACCCTAATAATTCAGTAGGCATAGGCGTCAAGGCCTTGGTCTTTGCTCGAGCTAGGCAAGCCTTTGCCTAAACTTTCTTGATGTTGGAGGTTACTTTTTGCCCAACAACAACCAATCCGACCAATCACACCCATCGCAAGGAAGACCGCCCACTTGTAATGCATGATGTAACAAGTTATTTTTAGCAGTGAGAGTCTCTGTGGAACATGTGAGCTGTGAATCAATGACCCGATCAGCCCACGGGTCTGCAGTTAGCGAGCTGTTTATTTTGAACGACAATAAACAACAAGTTTAAAGAATGGGCTTTGCTTTAAACTTTACAGCGACCAATGTCTGACCTAAAATCAATTGAAAGAGTTTGAAGTTTACCGAATTCGGAGCCAATACCTTTATATTTTGTGAGTAGTTGTTTTAAAAAAAAATTTTTATATGGTGTGCCATACGCAGCAAAAGTCTGTTAAAATCAAAATGTAATTGCAGCATTCAATGTCTAATTTATCAAAACATAGGTCTAATTTCTCAAAATGTAGGTCTAGTTTCCCAAAACGAAATTCAAATTTTTCAAAACGTAGTTCAAATTTTCCAAAATGTAGTTCTAATTTCTTTAAAATGTAATTCAAATTTCAAAACTTAGTTCTGACTTGATCAAATGCTCTCTCCAAATTCTGTTCCAAATGTAAATCAAAAACCACCCGAGCATGGTTTGATTTTTATGTAGTAAAAATAAATGATGGAGAAAAAAAAGAAGAAAATAAAATAAAATATTCCCGCATTAATATTTCCTAAATTGTTGAAGCGGGCGGGAATGATAATCTAATAATTTTGTCTATTTTCCCTTATTAACCTTCAGTCTACTGTAGGGCCCCAACATTGTGGACATTCCGGCCAATACATAAAGAATGAGGAAGACCCATAGTTGCAGGGTCACTTGTGCTTGGTGCTGAGAGTCAACTGTTCTATTATTTTTCAAGGGGTGTTCTCTTGAGAGAGAGATAGAGAATAGGCAATTAGTCATTTTATGTAGCAAGTATTCACAAAGAAAGTACACTGAAAATATTTCGCAAATATCTTGAAACACCGACTTATAAAGAAGAAAGTTTTTTTCTGCAATGGAAATAAGATAAAATCAAGAGGAAATCTAGAAAATACTTCGGACATGTTTTCTAAATCTTCAAGGGCCAAATGATAATATCAAACTTAATATACATAAACATCAAGATTGAAAAAAAATGCACAACCAATACCTTATGGGCATAATACATAGTACAAACTGTTATTCTCTCGTATTAAAATCAATTAAAAATAATGAAAAAATAGCGAAAGATTTAATGTTTGTTGAATGATAATCGCAGGATAGTCAGGGTGTGGGACACTTTGCGCATGCATTTTTATTGCATTTTTAAAAATTTTTCTAATCATTTTAATAATAATAATAGGCCTACAGTTCCATTCAATTGTTTCATACTGTAGAGGAAAATAAATTTGATTTTATTTTAATCCATAATCAAATACTGGATAATTTTTTTTATTATTTTTAGTTGAGAACAACATACAGTACATCACATCTACTAAAAAAATGTCATAGAGAATGTCATAACTTAAGTTTGTGAGAATAACAGCCTGTCACTGATTAATAACAATGAAAATTGGAATATTATGAAACTGTTGTTAAAATGGAATTGAAAATATTTTAGATAATATTCATATGCAAGGATTTGATTACTGACTAAGTTCTCCATACTTTGACGTTGTTTGTAATTCTTTCTGCTTTCTGTAAATTAATGTTCTGAATTTTGCCAACCGAAGCAAATTTGATTGTGACAAAGTTATTGACTATTTAGTATTGTTTTGACACGTTTTCCAAATTTTTTAGATTTTTATGAAATAAATATGTAGAATTAAAGTTTGTCCAAATGATTTTAGAAAAATATGTTAATTGATGACTCATGTATTATGATTTTAAGAAAAAAAACCCCATATGCAGATTCAAGAGGTCTAGTCCACTCCCACCCTTCATCATACAATTGTGAAAATAAAAAATAATACAATATTTAAAATGGGGAAAAAAGTAAATTACAGTATATTTAAATTTTAAGTCTAAAAGTGCTATTTCTAGCCATTGAGAAATTCCAGAGACGCAAAATGTTGTACCAACAGGGGCAGGGCTGAGGTAGTCGAACCCTTTATCTGCATAACTGCATTTATGAGCCCCTCAAATTTGATTTTCTTGATCTACCACTGATAACCTACCATTGTTTTCCATCACACTAGCATAATGACAGTATACCTAAATGATACTTTGAGATTGTTATCATATGAATGATAGAATTTCTCTCATTCAAATGATAAGAATCTCAATCATGTCTATTTCCTCAACACTACTAATTTTATTACAATTTCACGACAAATATTGTAAATTTTTAGAGGTGAAAATATTCCAAGTTGAGGGGGCACTTCATCACAGCAGGTGAACAGGCTTTCTCTTCAGCAGCATCCTCTTTCTCTTCAGCAACATCCCCTATCTTCTGTAAAAATGTTCCTATCAACTTTTAAATTATTGATAACACCACAAAAAATACAAAAAAAAAAAAACTAAATTAAACAAATAAAAAAAATAAAAAAACTCCAATATTCAAAGGGCCCAGCTGCCTCCCCAACTCCTTAAAATTCCCCACTCACTCTTTAAATTTGTCAGAATTTACAAAAATATGGAGAAAAAAAAATTTAAGTCTGAAGCCACATTTACACTAGACACGATTACGTGTCACAAAACTGCACACATTTGTATCGTGTCGTAATTGTGGCTAGTTGCTGTGCCATTTCCGGCCATATTTATAGGTGCCATGTAATCATAATGTTCTTGCCTTATTAGCCCCAACCACAGTGGGCATCTCTATCATGTCGTAATCATGTCTAGTGTAAATGTGGCTTCAGACTGCTGTGCCATTTCATGGCCATATAATTATAGGTGCCCCATGTATTCATAATGTTCTTGCCTTATTAGCCCCAACCACAGTGGGGCTGACCCTCCATGTGAAAGGCTCTCCCCTGCCTGGCCTCTATTTCAAATTCCTGAATCTATCTTTGCCTATTCTAGGCCCGGCTTAAACTAGGCAAGCTAGGTGGCTAGGCCGCCGCCTAGGCCAACATCCAACAAGGCTGGATTTAATTATGCATAGGCCTAGGCCCTTAAATTTGCCAGGAGTTATCATCAAACTTTCTATATTTATTATTAGGCCCTAGGCCTATTTATTTAATTTTTAACTTTTAAGAAAATTATGAGGCTAGGGACTAACCCCTAAAAATTACTTCATAGTACAGTATGTAATACTGGATAGAGATGCTTGTTGATACCGCCAGAATAGCTGGGCTTGGACTTGGTTGTGAAGCCTTTTCGAGGTAGGTGATGGTAGTGGTGGTCGTGTCCGCAAGGCTAACAACAGTCTTATCCTACATAAATACAGGATTAGCTGGCCTAGCTAATCACCCACCTAGGCCTAGCAAACAAATTGATTTGTAAAATATATAATTATTATATTTTATCCAAAACAAAATAAGTGTAATCACCGATTTACCATACTTGGATATCAATTCATAATTACATAATAACACTAATATTACCTGGATAGAAAAGAAATTTTTAAAATGAAATGATGATAACCATCTTCTGTCTTATGTTTGTTGTTTCACGTTTCGCTGCATCAATATCCAGAGCATGCAGGTCTAGGACAACCCGATTGTGTTTTGTTTTTTGTACGGAATGTATTTCTAGCAAGCAGTAATCTACTTCACGGCGATAGTATTTCTGCGCATGCGTTAGTTTTTGACATGTACGATTTCCCATAAAATGATCAGAATATTTTATGTTGCGTTCATCAATCATCGAATTTATATAGCGCCAAAATCCATCAAAATATCCAAAGGCGAACAGCAAACTAGCCTTGTCTTGAAAATATTAACAGATTGCCAATATCGCAGACAAGTCTTGAGGAAGAGAATCCACAGACGGGACAACAAACTCAGTAACGTGACTACAAAAGAAACACACATCAAGCTATTAACAAATAAATAGATCAAAACAAAAATACAAGAAGCTAAACAAAATTTTAAAATTCAATACAGTACATAAAATATTTTTACTGGTATTAACAGTTCTCTATAAAACCTTCTGATTATTATTATCACCATCATCATCATTAACATAATCATTATTGTTATTATTACTATTGTCATTATTGTTATTAGGCGCAGGCCTATGATTATTACTGTATTATTATTTTTGTTATTATTATTATTTTTGTTTTTATTATTATTATTCTGATTATTATTGTTATCATTATCACTGCATTCTTAATTTGTTATTGTTCTTATCATAGCCATTATAATTATTATCGTCATCATCAATTTTATTACAAGTACTAATATTACTAATTAGTATTACATATATTGTTATTAGTATCATTATTATTGTTACTACTACTATTATTATTATTGTCATTATTATTTTACTACTATTTTTGCAAGTTAATATTATCTATTACTGTTATTTTAGGCCTGTTTAGTTAATCTGTTGATGTATATACATTTTTTTTAAATATTACTATTATAAATAATAAAAAAGTTAGGGATTATGAATATCAGATCAAAGAAATCAAAAACAATAAATAAATATAAAATGAAAGAAACAAAACAATAATAGTATTAATAACTTTAAAAGAGATAAATATATAATACATAATAAAGGTTGTTTAGCATTTAATTAGTGGGTGGTATTTCATTTAATATAATTGTTCTGTATTTCCATATCATGCAGTTCATCTAATTCTGTCGTAAGGACATTTTGAATTAATAAAGGTCATAAAGTTATATTCAACAGTTCCCTTCGAAATCATCCCGTAATTGTTTGTATCCATAATACAATAAAAAGTTAGGGATTATGAATATCAGATCAAAGAAATCAAAAACAATAAATAAATATGAAATAAAAGAAACAAAACAATAATAGTATTAATAACTTTAAAAGAGATAAATATATAATACATAATAAAGGTTGTTTAGCATTTAATTAGTGGGTGGTATTTCATTTTATAATTGTTCTGTATTTCCATATCATGCAGTTCCTCCAATTAAATAAGGACATTTTGAATTAATAAAGGTCAAAAGTAAAATTCAACAGTTCCCTTCGAAATCATCCCGTAATTGTTTGTATCCATAATACAATAGCTCTTTGTTAAGTTCGTCAACATATTTATCTCTTATACTGTATTATCATGTACATTGAAATACAAAATGACCAGTGCTTTCGATGCTATTTAGTACATAATTTGCAGTAGCTGAATGCTTCAATAGTACATTCATGCACATTTTTAATCCACCTTTCAAAATTCAATACTTGTTTACCGCCCTCTATCTATTCCCGGAAGTTTATGCAATTTTTAGTTTACACCATGATATTTAGCTTGTTGCTGATGATACAGTAGTAAGGAATGATGTCATTCCTTGTTTTTTCATCGGTTGTGTTTCTGCAGTATACTATTTACATTTAAACTGATATTCGTCTACTAGTAAGTATGCATTTGTTAACTGAATAATACTGTGATAGGTCTGCAGGCTAGAACATAGGCCAACTAAAAATAAAATCTATCTAGCTAGGCCCTAGGGATCGATCGGGAAAGAAAGGATACCTAGGCCTAGGCCTAGTAAGCGTTGTAGGCCTTAGTTAGGCCAGGCCTCTCTAGTCTTGCTTTTAAAGCCGCTTTGAAGCAGTTCTCCAACCAGAGGGAGCCAGTTTAACATCCTCGAAGAGAGAATTTCAAATGAAAACAAATCTTATCTACATCGAAGGGACTTTACGAGTTCTTTCTTAAACAATTTACTAGCTTAGCCTGGCCTAGGAATAGGGGCCTAGGCCTTTTTCACGAATTGGTAGACATATTGAATTGATGACAAACATTGCGAATCAGCGGTGCGTAACCAACAGAAATAAGATAAGCTTTTGGTCTGATTTTCTGACATCATGTTATTTAAAAAATCATAACTCCATAACGGGGCGTCGTATCCAAAAAAATTTTCCAGCAAAATGTTCTTAAAAGACTAGTCTATACCACTATATGATTGAAAAAAATTGAAAAATTACAGTGCAGTAGCATAGGACTTTCGTGTTGTTACTGTTCCAAGTAGCGATAATATATAGATTTCTCTATTATAAAGTACAAGTTATGTTTTATAAAGAGGTATAGCATAGTAAATCATGTTTTTAACACAGGAAACTCTGATATGGTAACTAAAACAATGCTAGAGTTCAGATTATTACTAGTACTACTGCACTGTAATGCATATACCTATTTTAATACACTACTTTTCAATTCTTTTCCCATCGTACAAGTAAGAGCAAGTCAAGTAAGAGTTGCTAGTCAAATAAAATTCAAGATACTATAATAAAATTATGTCAAAGGAAAGTAAAGTGATATAAAATCATATATGTTAAAATTATTTACGATTAAATTTCATTGCTTATTGATTTTGTTAGCCAAGAAAGAAAAGATGATAAATAAAATATTATTTTATGACTTTACAGGAATAAACCTTACCAGTAACACAAAAAGTGAGCCAAGATGTGATGATACAATTCATCTAAGAGCTGAAGAGAAAGGCAACTGACATCAAGAGTGTTGGGGGGTGGGGACATTTCGGTATTAAAAAAACTTACCTGGTAAGTAGAATTTTTAAGATTGTAATGCTCCTGCCAATGTAAGGGGCAAATGAGTGGTAATCGAGAATTGACTATGCAGCCCACTTTAGCTGGTTTGTAATTTGTTTATGTTATCGATATTCTAAATATTCAGATATTTAAAAAAAATATTGGATATTAATCTACTGCCTTCAAAGAACTTTCAGTATTTTGGCTTTTTAAAACAGATGTTGGGACTTCCATGGGTTGTTAAAGAATCAGTGGTTTTAATACACGAGTTGTAATAATGCAAATTTAGTAAATGAAAGGGTGTCACATGATATCCGGTAATCAGTACAGTATAAGCATTTTGTTGTAAAATATCTAAATTGGTGAAAACAAAACAAATTATTTGAATTTTTGATTTATTATTTATTATTCTTTTGACTGATAGTACATCTTTAAATGTATTAGTATTTTACTCTGAGGTTTTTAAATAAACTGCTTTGACTAAAAAGTAAAAACATTGGTGAAACACAGTAAATATTTAAATATTTTATTAAAATGATGGTAATACAGTTATATAAAGAATATTAAGAACATCTTCATTTCTATTGAATCTGTTTTAGTGTGAAAGCTTGTGCATCCAAACAGTTTGAGTGAATTATTGTATAAATTGCTGTGAGAAGTAGATCACAAAGGAAGAATGGAGGAAACAGGTAAATAAAATACTGTTTATAAAGTAATTGTTGTTGGCATTGTTGTGTGTAACTATTTCAAAGGACTTCACATTGCCCTGATCATTGGTAATAATTTTACCTGTATGTACTGTACATGCACATCCTATATTGACTCTTGGAAGGTAGAGTAAATAAATATTTACAGTGAATTTCAAAATGTGTATAGTTAAAGTGACTGTCTTGTCTATTTTATCTTCCCAAATTAACATATTATTTAATGATATAAAATAACACAAATGTAGGAAAAATCGCCCATGATTACGGTAGGTTACTTGAAAATGACTAATTAATTAAACTAACAAAACCTGGATATTTTCATCTTCATTCAATGTTGGTGTACTTCATCTAAACCAACTGAATTATACACATTAAGTTTACTCTGTTACAGTAGACATTTTGGCTTGTTATACACTTTCTTCCACAAAAAATCTTTAATGCAATTATTTTAAAATAAATTAGAATTTGTTCAGGATTCTAAACATGTATTGATTAATTCCATTGTTTAATCTTCAATTTAGTTTTTATTTCTTTGGTGTCTATTTTTCACTTCTATAATGATAATTTTAATGACTATAATGGATGATTAATGATGATGTTTATCAAATACACATTTTTCATTGTAGATTAAAATTTTCCTGAATTGTATATTTCTATTATTGATGATAGTCAATTTATTTTCGCTTGTATCGTAGGACTTTCAAAAAGAGATTTCAGCCAGCTGTTGGTGGATTTTTCAAGTTGGTATGATGGACTTGGATACATCAATATGCTAAAAGTTTTGTACAACAATAGAGATCACGTGCCAATTTATAATAAGTTAAATGAGGCTACTAAGGTGATGCCCTTGCTAAGTATGTTAATTGGTTCTGGGAGTTTGAGCCTAACAAATCTCACTATCCTTTATGACACATTAAAAGTTACTGGACAATTTGGCTTCAAATCCAGAATTGTACTTCCAACTTTACAAACAATCAAGGAACATGAAGTGTCTAAATTCTCATGGTACAGACAGTTCCTCTTGAAGCTAGGAATGACACTAACTGATGATGATATAGTAGCGCTTGATGTACGATATAACATGCCAGTGTTAAAGAATTATAAAGATAGCTGGCATTTGATTATGGATCTAGAGCAAAGGAATGAGCTTTGTGAAGAAAAAATTGATGATTTCATTGAAGGATTACCAAGTGACAAAGCTCTGAAAGCTTTACTGGAACTTGAAGGTACAGAGCTATGTTTGTTAATGGAGAAGTTTACCAATTTTTTATTTTAGACAGTTTTATGTACACAACACAAGACTAATTTTAAAATTTAGTTTTTGCCTCTGGTGTTTTATCTGCAAGATTACAAGTACTCTAATATTTCACATTTCATTCTCCAGTAATGGTCTACTTTTTTAATCATGCTTAATCTAGGAACCCTCTTTATATTTTATCTATCATTTCATCCAACATTTAGAGCCAGCACTGTGCAAGTGTACGCTCAGTTAGGTTTAATTCTGAAGTTGCCATTGTCATATTGTTCAATTAATTGTAGTGTCATAATTTTTTGTGTGCATTTTTTTCTCAGTGTACAAGAGAGCAGTCAGTAAGAAAGAGGGTGAAACATACACATCTTACTACAACCGTTTGAAAGAGAATATTAGACAGTCAAACATGCATATAAGAAAGGATGTTAGTGGTGATGGGAACTGTTTTTTATACTGCATCCAAGATCAATTTGAGAGGCTGGGTTTACCAAATCGATCTAGTGCACAACTCAGGGCTGATTTAGTTGACTACTTGCGACATTTGGTAATTGTGTAGATTATTCCATAGTATTATCATTATACTTCCATGGTATTATCCAAGTGTTGTTTGATACATTGTGTTTTATTGCATTTAGCAATTTCTAAATTTGTTCCAGGATAAAGAAGATCCATTGATTGCCCTTACAGATGACAAATATCTAGATGAATTGAGTAAAGATGGTACTTTTGTTGACGAGACAGCCATAAGAGGGATGTCACGAATATTAAATCACAACTTCCAAATAGTGACCAGTCAAAGAAAAAGCACAGAGCAGGGCTACTTGGTCACAACAATTCAAGAAAGTTCAAACCCAGATGGTGTAATGTTATTTGGTCAAATTGGAGAGCTACACTATATAAGCTTAGGTAAGGGATACTGTAGTAGCATAGGGGCACCGCACACACACATACAGTACACACATACATACATGCCCACAAAAACATACATGCCCACATACATACAGGTACACCATTTAACACTCCCAGAACCTTTATTATATTTCTCTTTGTATTAATAATTGAAACTTATTCAATTAATTTGGGAGGTTAAATAAGTTTATTTTTGGTTGCATTTTATATAATTTATAATAATTTATGTGACAATACCAAAAATGTGAACATGAGTGCAACTTTTGCTGTTTTTCAACTAACAGTACTATAGCAAAACTCTTAAAATTGTTATTTTGTGTAATTACTTTTAATAATTTACTTCATATTAGTAATTGGTTCTTTTAATTGTTCTATGTGTGGCAAAGACAAGTCAAACGAGTCACTCGTCGCAAGTTGTGTTTCAGAGAAAATAGCAAAAACATGCTAGAATGTAAAATTTTTAAAAATCTATTTTATTTCACTAAACTAAGGTTTATGTATCTATACATCATGCTGTGCTGTTATTTTTCCCAATTTCAATG